CTTAAACTGGCAAATGATCCTGACGCAAGGCCAGCTGCGCTTCTGGGGGTATATCTGGATGACATGGTTGCTACGGGTCCACGTGTACTTCTTGATAGTCTCTTTAGCGCAATACAAACTAAATGGGAGACACAAGCCGACCCCAAGTCGCAGCGGACGAAGGTGGACTTCTACTTTGCGGCCTTGAAATCCATGACAGTGGAGAGCACTTGCACATCCACCAAAAGAAGTATCTTATGGATCTACTGAATCGCTATCCGATGGTCACCGGAGGAGCCTTCAACCAGGGTTGAAAGAGCCGGAGAACAACATGCATTGTGACAAGGCGCAACCGGATTTGGCCCGTATTAGACTTGCTCAGAAACTGGCTGGAGAACTGTTGTGGATTGCTACCAAAACCCGTCCTGATCTTGTGTGTGTGACGAGCAGAATTGGACAGATGGTGACCAGGAACGTGGAGTTTGCCATTCAGTTGGCCCATAATGTGCTCAGGTACTTGCGTCCGACTGCTCACTATGAGATCATCTATGACGGTGCGCCTCTTGGTGGAAAAACGGTGGACGTTGGCCCACTGCAAGATCGTACTGCGGCTCTAGAAGCGTACGCAGACGCTTCATTCGCTCCAGGAAATGACAGGTCCCAAACGGGCATCGTGCTGGTCTGGAATCAGGCGCCTATCACTTGGCTTTCGATGCGCCAACCTTGTGCATCATTATCCACCGCAGAGGCGGAGCTGCAGTCTTCCATAGATGCACTGGCCTTAACAGAGGGGTTTCTGCCGTTGATACAGGAGCTAGAGACCGGGCAGATTAAAACTTTCCTCTATAACGACAATCAGGGAGCAGTAACAGTGATGAAAGTTCCACAAGGTAGCTGGCGGACACGTCACCTTAGATTGAAAGCAGCATGGTTCTTTGAGCAGCTAGAGTCCTCTAAGTACGCCGTCTTTCACTTACCGGGAAAGTACATGCTTGGAGATATCTGCACCAAGTCACTACAAGGTCCTCGCCTTCGAGAGTTGCTGCAAATGATGGGTTTGAACCTTGTCGACAGAGTCGAGGGGGAGTCGGCTGAAATCAAAAACCTGAATGTTGGTTCCGGGGGAGCATCAACCAAACGTAGTGGTCCAGCTCTGTCAGAATCAACAAGCGGGCTGGGAAACCTTGGTGCTGATTCCGGGGGAGCTGGGATAGATCGTGTTGAGTTGATTGATACTTCCTTGGAAACAGTTGCAGGGGAGGATGCAGCGAGCAATCCGATGATCCCTAACGTGAGCTTGTTGAAGCGTGGCTTGAAAGTGCTTGTTGCTGCTTTGCGCTTGAAAAGATCAGCGGGGAAGGTGGTGATAACCATTGATGACCCAGAGCCTGATAACGGACAGGTTGCTTGGCTTGTTGCGTTGATGTCGTTGCTTGGGGTTGTGATATTGTGTTGTGGCATGATGCTTGGTCGATATGGTCGGACATGCGACGCCGATAGCCCAAGGATTCAAAGCATGAGGGCAGATGAAATGAGAAGGTCAGATGAATGGACTGTTGTGTCGAGTGCAGAGCTGAGAAGTAGGGACAGGACCCCTAGCCCCACTAGTGACGAACCCCCTTCCATAGTCGAAAATCCCGACCTAGGATCTACCCTAACCCTGGTTCTGAGGGAGCACTGCCAGAAGTTGAGAGCCTTGAGATCAGAGGTTCTCCCCAGGCCCAAGGTTCAGCTAGTATCCCCGAAGGGCCCCATCTTTAAAGCCGACCCGGCTCCCTATGACTCTAGGTACCCGGTACCCCGCACCCCTGACATGACACTAAGTGCGCCGGCTGAGCAAAGGCCGAGAGAAGAGGGCGAAGCGAACGCCGAAGTTCAGGATTGACAGGCAGTCTCGCTGCTGCTACGCGACCAGCTGCAGTGGGAGATGTAGTCGTGCATGCATGGACAACGTGCTGGAGTGATAGCTTCGTATGTAGACGATCTAGCATTTCATGAGGATCTGCAAGCAGCTCCAAGCTTGGATCATAACGCGGAAGCTTTGGTCACGTCTAGGCTTGAGCTCTCTGACACTGAAGAAGACCTTGAGCGAGACAATCGCGCGCTACCTCAAAAGGTGCCACAATGATGCAGGCTGCACACAACGATGATGCAGAACTGGAGCTGAGACACATAGTACTTGGGTGGACCATCGGGCTCCGCCCAGGGCAATATGGCCCACGCTGGGTCCAGAGCCAAGCTGGGGAGGCTCCGCGGGGCGCTTCCACCAGCCGATCCCACTGGGCTATGGTGCCGAATTCTGGTACTATGATCCACGCCGAAGTACTCTGCTTAGGATACATTGCAAGCCGAGACGGCTGATGTTTGTCCCGTAGGGTGCGGGATCACCACCTGAGATAGTTTGGGAGCAGCTTTCAGGCCGTCCTAGAACGTATGCGCAGTATCAAAATCCGTCGCTTCGCGTACCTTTCATGGAGGACAGGTACGACCGTCCCGGGCCCAGACGTGCCCTGGCAAGGGCTTGGGTCGGCCGGACTGAACCAGAAGTCCTTGACTTGTGACATCTGTGCAAGTAAAGCTTTGACAATCCGATAGCCTTGCAGGCTAGTTTTGACAGTACAATCCTGAAAGAAAAGGCCTTGAGCTGAGAATTCTTTAGCGGTTTTTCTCTGACTCGGAGTTTTGGAGCAAGACTCGTGCTGGGACAGCGACCGAGAGTCTTCTTTTGTGGGTCTCAAGGACCCGACCTGACTGATAATGATACAAACTGTGGAGTTCATTCTTGAACCCACGGGGCTACCTTAATCCTCTTTCGGAGGTGGACTCTGAGGGGGAGTGTGCAAGGTACCAAACACGTTCGATGGAGGCCTTTTTTAGCTCGAGTGAAAGGAATGAGTGATTGTGTAACACGTATAGGGTTTAGGGGAGCTCAATTTGGTGTCAAAAAGTCAAGCCTCCACACTCCTGCGAGAGTTCAATACATAAGAATGATAATAGGAATCGAAATGACAAGAATTAAATGATACTCTTTATCGTAATAACCAATGCAATCGTAACAGTTGTAGCAACATGAGAAGACGTATTGCTGGCAATGAAAATAAGAATATACTACAAACGATTATACTGGTACGTTCAATAACAATGATGACAAAGTGTCAATTGATAATACTACAACCAAGAATAGGATGTTCGTAGTAGTAGGAGGAGCAGTAGTGCTCGCAAACACAAGGAGCAATAGCAGGAATAGAAGCTTCAGTCATAACAATGGAATAACACGAGCAAAAAAACTTAGCAGTAGAAAAAACGTGATCGCAATAAAAGTTGCAATCATAGCAGTAATAGGACTAGGAATATCTGTGTAATTTTAGTTAGCAGAACAATAGCCATGATCTACGTGGTCACAGTACGAGAAATAGCAATGGGTTAATACCAGCTAACAGCAAAACAAATAACAGAAGTCACGCTACTAAACGAGCTTTAACAAAAATAATGGCAATGGCGATAATGGTTACAAGAATGGAGAAAATGGCGTAATAACAAAAAGTGCAACGTAGGAATGATGAATACTGTTGGCCAAGTGCTGCGTTGGTTTTGAAAGAAAAGGAGGCGGGGGGTGCACAGCCATCGCCTTTTGCACAATATGGACGAAGATGAAAACGTGCGCTTCATTGCAAATCTTTGTGTGGCTTGCATTGATGATTCTTGAAAGTACAGAGCCGAAAAAACAATGCTAGTAACGTAGTACGTATACTTGTTCTAATACTGGTATCAGTAGTAGTAATGGGATGAAAACTGATGCCGGTGATGGGGCATGTTTCTTTTGTTGTCCTGGAGGCGCGGGCCGGGCCGCGGGACGCGGGCCCGCGGAGACGGGTCTGGCCGTGGGACGTGCCCCAAACCCTGAAGACACTGAAACCCCAAAACCCTAAACAATCTAAACCATAAACCGCCTTAAGCCCCCTCTAGGTATCCTACAAACCCAAACCCTGAATACCCAAAAAACCTCTAGACACGCTAGACCCTAAGAACCCTAGAAGCCCTTAAACCCTAACAACCGCAAACCCTAAAACCCCTCGACGCCCTAAACCCCTAAAAACCCTCATCCTGAAACCCAACACCCGGTCCCTTAAACCCTACAAACCCTTATAACACCTTAAACCCCAAAACACTAACACCCAAAACCCTAACACCCTAAACCATAAAAGCCCTGAACCCTATAAATGCCCTAAAAACAAAACCCTGAATGCCTAAAGCCCCCATACACGCTGGACCCTAAAAAGCCCAGAAGCCCTAAACCCTAAAAACCTTAAATTCTACAAAGCCCTAAGCCCTAAAATCCCCAAACACCCTTACCCTTGAAACTCGTAAACCCCAAAGGCCCTGGACACCCTGAACCCCCAAAAGCTCTCACCCTGAAACCCCAAACACCCTAAACCTTATAAACCCTTATAAGCCCTTAAAACACTAAAAGGCAACTAGACCCCGATTATCCGCGAAAGCAATGAGTTCCACGTTAGCAAGGGGCGCGTATATGGCAGTGTTCTAGGTGCCGCGGTCGCAGTACGGTGCAGTTGCTACGGCGCATGTGCGCGGTGTGTGTTTTGGTTATCAAAATTATGGTCCCTTTTTGGGTACCCTAAATATAGGGATTATAGGGACTGTATTGGGGTTCCATGGGGATAATGGAAAAGAAAATGGAAACTGACATATTGGGGTTATATCTACCCTATTAATCCCTTTTGGGGTACCCTGAATATTAGGGGCCATACTCTAATAGGGACCCAAAAAGGGCCCATATTTTTGACAACCACCCATGTGTTTTGGTGTGTGCGCGCGGTGTATAAGTGCTGTAGTGGGTTTATGGTTTTTTGATTCAGTGTTTAAGATGGTGTCAACGAGTCACAAAGTCGAGAACAGCTGGCCTGTACAGCAAAGTGAAATTCAAACGCACAGCCGGTCAGACTCTGTGAGAAGCTGCTTCCCGCACCAATATCCATCTGTAAGGTCTGGGTTGCGGGGTCCTGTCGCGTTACCTCGACCAACTGTTGCTGTGGCAGCTCTGAGACCGACTCCTCCATGAGGACCAAGGGCACCTCACAAATCACGAATGTCAGGCTCAGCGAAGTAGATCTGGTGAATCGGAGGTCTCAGAAAGGTCTAAGCATCACCTGGCGCGTGTGCTCCTCGACGCACAAGTCCATGCAGGCTACAGGCTTCTCCACTGCCTGGTAGGGCATCAAATGTCCAAGCTCAGTGACGTTCGAAACTGCACGGCACTGAAACCTGGTGGTGACCTGCTGGCATCTGCCCCTTCATCCGCCTTCGTCGTCGGGAGCAGCGTCTGTCTGACCTGAAGCTACGGGTGCAGTTGAGAAGGACAGAAGTGAGGTGAAGTGACAAGTGCTGTTTCTCACTGTTCACAGAAAGAGCACTTCTTAGGCACCCAACCAGAGGAACGGTTTGGACCGTTGGCACCTCTACCAGCCGCTCCTGCACACTGAAGACAAGTCAAGGTGTGAGTTGTGACTGAGGGATCGAGACCTCTCGGAGCACCAGAGGCACCTCCACAGCCTCCACGTTTTTCAACATCTCAAAGCTCTTCGGGAGGTCTCAGAAGTCTCTTAGAATTCTCTATACACAGTCTACAGCGTACTGCACCGGCCACCTTCTCACGCGCCTCCAGGGAGACTATGGGGAACTCCTACATGAACCAGCCAATGACACGTTATGACATTCTAGGATGTTCTACGACACACGACTTTCATTAGAACATACGAGAAGCTTTCGAAGGACTCCTTGGCAATTTCGGTGTAGCTGACCTGTTTCTAGCTTCGCCACTGAAAAGAACTCAACTTCGCTGTCAATTTGGCAAGGCCTTGCCTTAGGCACTCGGACTTCCACGTCAACCGCCACGGCCTGAGATCAGTCCAAGTTCTTCGAAGTGCAAGATGAAGCCGGGTATGGAAAGGTCCTGCGGTATTTCCACGACCCGCTCCTTGGCTTGCAAGAAATCACAGGCTACATTGTTCAGAGCGTGTCAAGCGCGCCTGATGCAAGACCTCAGGAACTTGGAGCACCTTCTCAACCGCCCGCAGGGTGCACTTTGGCACATGCTTGTCCTGAAGAAAGGCAACCAGGAGCCATCTGCCTACCCAGGTTTTTCATTTCGTTTGAGCTTCACGTTCTAGGGAGCAATGCAACGCCAGCTCGCACCGCACTGGACAAATCTGAAAGACAGCCAGGTGCACAAAGTCAAGCTGGGTCCCAGTCCACGTATTGAACCACAGGCACAGGCACTTGTCGAATGAGCTCCTACGAACATGCAGACCCTACAGAATGAACGTGCAAATCATGTCCGAGATCTGCTGCTCTCATGGAGAGTTGGTCCACCTTTGACCCTCAACGGGCCTTCACTTCGATCTCCGGAACTTCGACAATCCGCTCTTCGTAGACCTGCATTGACACCATGCCTCTCTGTCTTTGGCGGTGGAAGCTTAAATATTATCGGACTCAGTCAAGGTACCACTTGCGGCACTTCAATGGTCTTCTCAACCTCGGGATTCTGTTCCACATTATAACAGCCCACGACACACATGCCTGCATTCGGGCCGCATATTGGAACACAGCTTTAGGGACCCTCTTCTCCACAAATTGCACCTTGACAGCCACACAAGGGCAAGCCAAGCGCACACGCGCTGGAGTGGCTTGGCCGCACCTCCACTTTGGGAACCTGTCGTAGGACTTCGCGCACTTCAACTTTGGCCACCTGAGCTAGGCGCAATCCTCCCGTGAGAAGCTGCCCGAAACCTGTACCTCCTTAGCTGTCTCGTGGATCTCGATGCTGGGCACCTCAACTATCCTGCGCCGGATGGAACAGTTCCACGTTGGAACTGCTAACGCTGAGCTTGCTTCATGGGACCGACGCCTTTCCCTCAGCTGGATCGCTGGAATCTCCACCTCCAGCCGCAGGAGAACGGGACTGGACTTAATTTTTTGGGGGGGGGCGGCATTTTGTTTTGGTTCCAGTGCCGGGCCAGCAACAATTGTGAAATGCAGCATTTGGGTACTTTAGCAGTTTGTTTTCATCGTCGCACAGCCTCCCGGAAGGTGCTTGGAGGCTGCGAGTGCTGGGTTGGTAGCATCACAAGGGCTACTTGAAGATGGGAAGTAATGGTAGTGCCCAATTTCTACAACAAGATTTTCAGGCATCGCCCCCACGCTTTACGCAAGCAGGGGGGTTGGGGCGGGGGCGGGCGGGGGGGGGGGGGGG